TGCTACTCCATTACTGCCAAATGATTTCTGATGTTTTCAAATAAGTAAAGACAATGGAGTAACTAATAATTGATTGACGTCCACTATGGTCTCTAATGTCTTCTCCAATGGCACAATATTCAGTCTGGTAAATTGATTTCATTACTTGACCGTCGCACGACTTGCGTTAATAGCGCATTTGTGTCATCAAGACGCAATTTTATTGACAGAGCAAATGTGTATTTTCATTCCAGAATACACGTAGTTGATGTTGGGCTTCACACCAGACAATATTAGCAAAGTTTGCAAATGAAGGCTTCGTTTGTTTATTAATGAATTGGAATTACCAGATGCATATAGTTCTTACAGTTTAAGAACATAAATAAATTAGAAACATAGTCAGAATTGTATTATTACAAGACAGTTTGGGATCGGTTACAACAAAAAATTATTGAGTATTAGCCAAAGAAAAACTTATGCGCTAAAGACAAAGGCAAGACAACAAGCTGAAAGAAAAAGCAACAAGCATGACATATTAATATATTTTAGATGACTATTTCAATCAAGTGTTATTGAGAGTACTGATAATAACTGATTGGACAAGAATTACTGTTTAAATTTGCAAAATGGGCACAAAATTATAATCTGCAGTATTAGTATATTGTTGTATCACGCATATTCGGAAGTTGGGTTTGTCGATGTCATGCTTTAGCCCATATTAACTTGTAGGGTTGACCAGTATTAAATGTTTATTCGTTTCCTTCACATCTTGTTTCTTCTCAAAGATTGGTCGAAGGTTGAGACTTCGTTGTTTCATGAATACGATTAACGTTTACATTCTAAGATTCATCTATATCATATTTACAAAAATATGTGTACCTGCATAATAGTACAACTGTTGGGAAATCTGCCTTATCTTCCTTTAAGGATCGAGTGCAAGCTTTATTGTAATCTTCGTGTCAATATTGCTAAATTTGTCATAAACATTACGTTCTGTGGCAATACCTTAACCCAAATTGATCTTCGTGATAATTCGGGGTTCTTGCCGAACTGATGATACATGTGTCACATCTCATACATTATTATCGCCGATTGTATTTGTAAGCATTTGCAAGATTGCGTCATCATAAGAAGAAATCGTTAAATAGGATCAATTTCCCCTCCAGCAAAAAGCTTTAAAAAAATACCATTATACGAATAACTCTATAATAAGAATGCCAGGACAAGATACGCTCCCCGTAATAGTTGGAAGTGAATCGACTTTCGATGACATTATCGCTAATGAAACTAACAAGTTGGTAAGCATCACGTCATCTCATAACAATAATATGTTCAGGAGCGAACAGTGCTTGTTTAGTCAAATGCCGTTAACGCAAATTTAAGATGGCACGACAACCTTCAGAAGTCGTGTTCAGTGATTAACTTCCCGTATCCCATCTTTCTGTCCGGTTGGGGTTAACGTCCCATCGATTTAGATAGTAGTTGACTTCTACGCGGACTGGTGTGGACCGTGTAGAATGATTGCACCATTGTTTGTGAAATTGGCTAGTGAACATATCGATGTTAAATTCCTTAAAGTTGATGTAGATGCTCTCACAGTAAGTAATCTTCGTATCTTGATATTACGAGAGTTTGCCATAATTGTTCCACTCTGATAAACTAATTATGTATCTCTTATTTCAGGGTGTTGCCGCAAAACATAATGTTACGGCCATGCCAACATTCAAATATTTCTACAATCAGAAGGAAGTTTGTGAAATAGTCGGCGCTCAACCACAGAAAATCGGGGAAAAAATCGAAGAGCTCAAAAAGAAAATAGAATGTGGCGAGTTATAGTGAAAACACATCTAATTCTGCATGTGTGTGCGAAACACCCTTGATATTCTTAAAAATTTCATTACTTTGGTAATATACATGAGCAATAAGAAATAAACACGCACAAGCATTTATTAGGATTGCAATATAATATCACAAATTTCAATTAAATTAGAGCTTTAGGACCCATTTAGACGTAGACAGACAAACATATAACCGAAAACAAATCTCCGTCTTTTATACCCTTGTTCATAAAGCATCGTTTACTATACATACTCTACCTGAGTATGATATCAGATTCACCAAAGCGTGTTGTTAACATCAGCTGAGCCATTTTCACCTTCTCTATTATCTGCAAAGCCATTGCCGAGTATGTAAGGAGAGCTCTCAATATCGGGAGGAAGCATTGGTTGAATTGCTTGCCCATCGTCACCAACATTCCTCCAAGCCATCCAATGATAGTATTGTTTGGAATGAATAGTCTTTGCAGTATCTTGAACTTTAAGAGCTTCTCGGAAGCTTGCGTTTTGCAGTAGGTCAAGGAAGTATAAGGCATGCGGATAACTTGTAATTTCAGATGATTGTTACTCCAAATTGACTATTCAACTCAAAGATCATATAATGCAGAATATTTGCCTTCGATTCCTTTCCATACATTATATATTTCGCATACTGTGGCTTCTGCCAGCACTTCAAGTACCGAAGATAGTTGAGAAAGGTTGGATCGTCGAAGTTGCCTTGTTGAGCTAAATCTGTCCTTTCAAGAGGATATGAATCTCTTCAGTAAACAGTACTAAACATAGTTCTTACGTTTTGGTGCAAAAGATTCCTAACGTACAGTGGAGATACCAGGGATTGGCTAAACACTGAATGAACTCCAACTCCATCTGAAACCGCCGACGATTCGCCTCCGAGACACTAAATTGTGGAGAAGAATTAATGCCAGCGCTCTTGCTTGAATTTGCTTCCTCCATCATTGTAATATTCTTCGTGTGAAGGGTCTCGCATCTTTGAAACGTGATGCACTGATTATTTTGCCGCTGTGGCTTGTACCCTAAATTTGGGAGATCTTTGTCGGTGGGACACAGTAGTCTGACCTAATAATAATATAATTTATATCGAAAAACCTCTATATAGCGATAGTCACAAACTCTTTATAAGCACATTTTCAACAAAAGTTTGCATTGTTCCCGACAGCGAGGGTCGATAACAAAAACAAATAACGACGAACAGAATTATTACAACTTTCCCAACTTATACACTTGCAATTCATCGAATGAATCAGTTTTCTGAAAAATTTACAGTTGTTCTCGATTCCGCTATGCTGTAAAATACTGGCATTGACTTTCTAATTGTGACCAAAAACTCATAGTGATAAGCATGTCCACAATCAGAATACAGCCTACCTTGCAAGGATCAGTAAATTCCTCCAAATCACAGTGTCTATCTGTATGACAGACATTGACTGTATTATTCACCAATATGAGTTCCATGTTTTGAATGTACACAGGATGAACCTATTTTGGTCTGTTGAGATTCTGGTAAAGAAGTTTAATCAGTCTAAGTCGTTCTGGAGCCTTCTTGAATTCTTCCCTTTTGTATTGAAGACTCATAAAATTTACAGTGGTGTGCAAAAAAAATGGCAATTGTTTAAATCTCTCTGGTTTTAACATGAGCAATCTAATTAAAGTGTATGATATATCATTTTAAAGCTTAAAAGCAGCAGATGTTATTAATATAAAATTAATATAATATTCCATTACCATTCTCTTGATAATAAGCTCACAATGTCTGTTGACAGGCTCTACAAAACTAATTACAACAATCTGCAAAATAGTTATTCATTTGTCAAACCATAAATGCTCCAATCTACTTGGGATCAACTTCTTGAATTCACTCCTAGTAATGTTTCAGAGGTTTCAGATATATGCTCTTAGCAATAACACAGAGGTTTTCAAAAATTTTCAGTAAAATTAAGGTTCAGTTATGGTTAGGGTAACAGTCAGGTTTAGGGTTGGGGGTTTTTTTTTAATTTTGTGATTTAAACACTTAGATCTTTATCAGAAAGTTGGTTTAAGGGTTTTTATGTGCTTGTTGCTTTCAATAGTGTAATTGATCTAAAATTGACTTGTTTTCACCAGGTGTAGAGGTTAGAGTTGAGTCTATGGAGTTGAAAACTAATCAAAGATTTGGAACATATAAAATGATAGCACCAAAAACCAGCTTTTATTTCCATTTTACATGATGTAATTAAAATCAAAATTGAGTAAATTACAAACATATGAATTATAAGATATATTTGCCATTTTTTTTGCACACCACTGTATGTTTAAGATGAGAACATGCATTATTCTTTGACTTCTTTACATTAGCTGTCAACTTATTGTAATAAAACTTTGCCGCCTACATCTAGGTGTTTACTTGAACTCTCGCTCAGATACAATAATCGCGGGTGATTATGATGTTATTCCTGTCCTCCAAATCACAACATTGAGCCTTCCTTTTTCCTGATATAGACGTTTTGCTTAAAACAATCGTACGCTCGCTTTTGATAAATACGAACGCCTTCTGCTTACATGTACGTGGGTGGTTCAAAAAGTTCTTGCCGCTTTACGGGCTGATAACCTATGACAACGTAATACTAACCAAATAAAAGCTCAAGTTAAATTTGGTTTGTTTTAAATAGATGGTTGTTGAGATGTCTTCGTTCAAAGTTTGTTCATTGAAACCACTGGCTTGAATTTCACATAAACTAATACCATATTTGTCGAAATGGCAAGACGCGACAGATGTTAGTAAAATTAATGAAATCTTGTAGACATAAAGCACTAATGCTAACATTACGCACAGTTTGACAGCTGGTTAAAACTTTCAATGATGGTAGAGACTGCTTGAAAGATGACTCTTGATCCATAAGGCTTTCAGGCAGTTTTTGACAGTAAGATTACGAAAAATAGTTTAGTCAGTTTTAAAATTATTATATAACTTTTCGAAATAAACCAGGCGGCAAGATCTTTTTGAACCCACGTATTAGTATATTAATATGTACTAATACAAAATTAAAATATAGGTGTTGATCCTTCAAAATACCTTTGATCACAAGTGTAAAGTCTCTGCTGGCTAAAACATTGTATCAAATAATATGAACAAGTGTTGTTGCTGGAACGTAGTAATGTATGATTTGAACCAGACCAACTGTCCGTAAAAATGTGCATATTTGGCTTCCCATCAAGGACAGATAAATCAAAATATAATGCTTCCATCTCATTATTGTTCGATAATAAATAAGTTTTTAAGGAAATTAGGGTTGACATCTAATAGGCTAAGGTAATAGGCTTCGAAGTGAATAGGGTGCTTTGTTGTTCAGTTATACCGTTGCCGGTTTTGCTATAACGGCCCAAATTTTCAGGAATGGTTTTTTACATATGAATTTCCCTTTATATATTAATTAAATTTCTTATAACGGCACAGAGTCCGTCATACTATTATAAATATAATGAAGTCTTAATACCGGTCGACGATAAATAAAAAATTAGCTTATTCCTTATGTGTCTTCTACTTTTTATTTCCTGCGCCTATGTCACGTAAAAGACATTCTTTCTAATCGATAAATAAAATAAATAAAAAGAAATCCAGAGTGTCTCTCACCGCTTTACAGAAGAGAGGAATTTGTCAGTTTAAGTCAAGAACTTCTTGTTGGTCTAATAGTCAAATTGGTGCTTGCGTAAGCAGTACGACTGGTGACATACTTCGTGTTAATCACAATGACATTATTGAAGTGAGGTCCGGTTTATTTCATCAAATCAACAGTACAGTTCGCCGACAGTACATTTTACCGACAGTCATTTCGCCGACGGTAAATTTAAAGCTTTTAATGCTGTTAATTTTTGCTTTATTATAATAGAAATTGTAAAGATAATGCGGGATTATGAAGTTAGTACTGTAGTATAATGATACAGTAACATCGTTTTGCACTAAACAGAAATACACTTTCTCATGTGACCAATACTCGATATATAATTATGGTACAAACTGGATGTAAAACCTATTTATTGTTCAATACGTATGACCAATACGTAAATATCGTAAATTCTCTGTTCACTTCTAAATTACGTCGATATGCGCAAATATAGTCATATCTTATTGACATCCTTGCCTAACTTCATAATCCCGCGTTATCTTTACAATTCCTATTATAATGATAGTTATGAAAGCAAAAATTAACAGCATTAAAAGCTTTAAATTTACCGTCGGCGAAATGACTGTCGGTAAAATGTACTGTACTGTTGATGAAATGAATGCCTCCCGTTTATTGAGCTTTCGCGTTAGTCATTACATATAAGTACGGATTGCAGAATATGGCCTGGCCAATAAATATCGGTAATGTCAATGCTGTAGTTGAGGTGTCTTGTGAAGCAGTTTTTACCCGGCAACATCAGTGGCAGTTGCCACAATAGCTGATTACTGAAAGAAGGTCGATTCGTTTTGATGACAAAATACTCTGTGGGTTGATTATGGCGATTATGACACGATGTTTTACTTGATATCTGTATCTGACTATAGGGTGGAGTAGACATGTCTATGAAAATAAATGCTCGTCGGTGATGTCAGTGTTGAATCGCTAATTAGTTCTATTAGTATATGTGTTGAGTCAACGGGAGAGCGAATAATTATTGTCCTTGGGATTTAGCTTCTTTCAATCGGAGCTGTGGCCTTTCATACTTAGCTAAATTCGATTGTTAGTAAATTTTTTTACTGCTCATGGTCGATACCGATTTCTAATTATCGAAAAAATGCATTTATTACTTAGACCATAATATTCGAGAATGATCGAGTATTTATCCGCCGCTTTTACCGTGATCTGCGCAGCATTGGAAAAGTCGGATTTTTTTTGGTTATAAATCAAAAATAATCATAATTACCTAAAAATTAATAATAATCCGAATTATTAATACTTAACCATTTATATAAGCAAAAGCTACTTGTTACTCAAAGATTTTATCGATATAAAATTCTTTCACAATTAATTAGGATGCTATTCGCAACGCCAGAAACGAATTATATATCATGTATTTCAGAGTATAAAAAACTACCCGTTGAAAACTAATGGTAAGCTGGGCTGCTTATAAACCAAATTCATGAGCATCTCTCTGATACTTTGATAATTTCTGTTGAGAGAGTGAATAGGAATCGTATGATAAGGTTTAACAAAATG